TTAGATACGGACATGCAACCAACTATATATACGAGATACATATAATAGATTATAAGGTCTTATATTTCGCACGTGTCGCATACATATGTGACAGTGCGACATAAACAGTATCGTGTGCGGAAGTCACAACGACATATTTAAATGAAAAATTTCAGTGAAGAATAATAATATAATCAAATCCTCCAAACACACACTCAAAGGACTTTGTTATTTTTTGAGTATACCTACATATTAATCAATTATCTGCAAGTGTCTCGTTTGTTATCTGGATATAGTTGGATCGACGTTGTGTATTTTGTATTGTGTTTGCCATATTGCCCATATTAGAATATTCATTGGCATTCGTAATGGTCGTTCGTGCCAAAATAATAGTATAAGACCACACTGTCCGAGCATTCTTACGGAGGCTACAGTATATTATTAACTACAATATATTATATTATATAAGTTTACTGCAAGTCCCGTTTCAAGGAATATGACGCCTCTTACTCCCTTTATATATATATATATATATCACAAACAATTTTTCGAGAAGAGACCACTTAATTTTATACCTTTTTGACTCGTATAAAAACAAAAATTGTGAGTTGTAAAATATTTAAAAAAAATAACCTTTGTCATCAAATTAAATTTTCTGTTTTTTTAGTCATTGTTATTTTTTTGCATTATTGTCTCAGCAATAGTTTTTACTCTATAAACAAAATTAAACTAAAATAATTACTAAGTACAAATAAAACATTTAAAACTGTAAACATGAAACGTAATAATATTAAAAATAATTCAATAACTAAAATTTAGGTTTATTTTTAAATATGAAAAGAAACATGTCATTTAATATACTCGAATATATTCTAAATTTGATAATAATACGACAGAAGTGGTAATATTGTCGTGCATTGCAGAACTAATGTTAGTATATTGTTTGGATGAATGGTTTTAATTTTATATGAATCATTACCACTGTGGAAACAATATCGCCACAGTATAAAGCTCCCAGCATTAAAAAATGTTTATGTATAATTAATCATATCAAATGATTATTAGGGCTTCTTAAAAAGTAAAAAAATAAAATAATAATAAAACTTTTATTTCTCTTTTAAAAAATTACTTTCTTAAAAATGTTCCGCGAAAACTATCTCTTTAAGTAACTTCTTTACAATATTGGACTATTTACTGAATAATTTATCAGTGAAAGATAAATGTATTAATAATTATGTTAGAAAATCGTCAAATTTAAGATTTAAATTCCTTTTATTTAGATGTATATTGTTTGCCACGTGGTTATTGAAATGCTGCCTGTAGTGTAAATTCGATTAACTTAAAATAGTAAAAGTAAAAGAATATTCTTATTATTTACATTTTATATATATTTGATAAAAATACTCTAAATTTATATATATATATATATATATTAGAGTCAATCGTCTTATATATGTTTATATAGATATAAAAGTTGACTTATACCATTATTTGTTTAAAAATAAAAATAAAATTTAGTAATAAAAGATATTCTTATAAATATTTTCAAAAACACGACTAAACAAACTTCACGTTGGTGAAAATAATATAAAAAATTATTTTATTTTATCTCCTCGAGACTAGCTTTTTAATAACGTTTTGTATACTGATATCACCGTATAATTTGAAAGTTCAATAAGCAATATTATTAACTTTGAAGTGTTCAAGGGAAAAAATAATATTTGTAAGGTTTTTATAAAATTAATAAATGTAAACATTTGTTGTGAAAATGACAAGGACTTACAAACTTTACGGATGTTATCTTAAGAAAACTCACTTTTCGTATTTCGAGATAAATGAAATTGAATTTGACTTTTGAAAAATAATTAGTCAACGAACATTCATAATTGATTGTTCTATATTTTGTGTAAAACGTGAATAAAATCTATCGAAACGGTTAACTCAACGATAATAATACGTCATTAAACATAATATTATTTATTGTAAATTTGTAACCAAAAAATAAAGAGGTTTTGGTGAATTCGCAAATCACATGTTATCGCCTTTTACAGAACTTTCTAGTATTTTACTAATTTAACCTCATAATTATAAATATATTTATTACTTTTTATACAAGCCTGAATAAAATTGTGAGTGTTTCATTGACATTTTCTCAAATCCCTGTGTTAAATATAATATTTGTTTTGTAAAGAAAAAAAAAAACGTATTACCCTTTAATGAAAAGAAAAAACTCTTTTAAAATAACCGATATCGTGAAACATATTCCGCAAATCAACGATAAACGCGCACCACTGATCTTCATCCAGTTTATCATGTTGCTTTTGACAGCCCACAAACGGCCTAAACTTTCAATTATTTAGGTGACTACATATTATATAATATTATACGTGCGTATTGTTATTAACACACTTTTGAATTTTGATTCAGCGGTAACGATCAAAGAAATTCTAAACGCGAGATGAATATTGTATAATATATGTGTATTTAATATTTATGTATACTGTATACAGGTGCAACGTACTAATCCAATATCATTTTAATTGTAATAAACCATCAGAACGTAGTTCGACTTATTTCATAGTTACGTGGTATAACATTCCAGCATGTGAATAGGAGGTGGTGTTGGTAAGCCTTTGCGTTGCATAACATAATATATAATTATATATCGATGGGTCCTTGCCCGTTCACCACCGCTTGTTATGTATAATAATATTAATTTTACGTATATATAATGTATTTCTACCGTCTCCTGCAGTTCACTGCTTTATTGCGAAGAACTATTCCGCTGCTGAGCCATTGCTGACGGGCTCGAACCTCGGCATAAAGTGTATGATTATTAGGGAAACCTTAAAAACAAGAAATCGGAAAACGCGTAACTATAAATATTTAAAATATAATATTACTTTGGTTTACTGCGTAATAATAAAATAACGAGAAATAGAGAATGGCAAACCGAATGTAAGCTTGTGTTATTATGCGAAACCATTTTTTCTACGAAGTGTTATTATTTTCGTTGTTGTCGTCGTCTGAAAACATCAGTACCGTAATAATGTTAAAAAAGATCTATAATAATAAACCTTATTACAGTACACGCATGTGATCGTAGTTTCCTTTTATAATACGAAAATATAAACAATATTTTATTATATCGATGCGGAGACAAAAATAAAATAACACTATGCACGTAATAATAATATACTTGCACACAGTTATATTTATTGAACACAAACTCGTTTATTTGACACAATCGTTGTATAAATATACTTCGTATTGTATAATTATATATTATGGCCTCTCTCGGATGAAATTTGTATTGTATTATAGTTACATGGTCTATTTTGATATAAATAAAGAGCTTCGTTCGAATCTCACAATGCACACAACACATACTCACGCACTCACGCACACTGTAGACAAATGTTCAAATAAATATATAAATTATTTCAATTACGCTGATTCAATTTTAAAGTCAATCGCCGAATTTAAAAATTTAATCGATTTTCACGTTGAGATGTTTGGAAGTAATTTATCAAATTTTACTTGACGCGTTAGAAAAACAGAATTTATATTGATAAAAAATATAAATAAAATAATGATGTAGATGTATATTATGTATCAATGTATCATCGTTATACATTTTAATGACAAATATGTACGCTGTAAAATATATTATAATATAGTGCTTTCGCCTTTCGGCTATAATTTTTTAATCGGATTATATATTATCTGCGAGATGACAAACACCAAGAGAGAAAATATTCAGAGATTATTTTTAAAACTACTTAAAATGCGCATATTTAACTAAAACACCCTAAGAAGTATATATATAATTACTGTTGGCTATATATGTATAAATAATATAACATTTCTATGATAAATGATGAATTTTTTTATAAAAAATAGAAAATCCATGTATAAATTGAAATTATAATATATTATACTTAACAGTTTCCAATATTTTATTTTGACAAAAATTCTTCCATTTGTATCAATGACGTATGTTTAATTTGTTTATAACTGATAAAAACTGAATCATATAAATAATTGGTTTAAATATTTTAAACTTTTTTTTTTGTTTGTTTCTTAAAGACAAGATGTAAAATAACATACAAGACTTCACTAAATTGTTAATAGTTCATATTTTTAAGTTGCAGTACTAGATTCATGAAAATATACTAGATATAATAAATATATGAGATATTATGAGTCAAACAATTTAAAAATGTATAGTATATTCATTTTCGCGAAATCAGAATATTATTATTTTACACATAGTTTTCTTATTGTTATTAAAAAAATTATTAGAATTTAAATGTATATATTAAGTTTTTTGTAGTTTTTAGTTTATAAAATCAACTAAGCAAATTATTTTATTAAGTAAAATTTGTTAATTATAATATTTATTGCTTATCTAGAGGTATATTGAAAATGTATAATCGATTTTAAAAATAAAAAATGTATTTTTCTCTTATAAAATAAGTTAGTGTACAATATTGAATGAGAAATATTTAATATTTATGTACAATTCTTTGAAATTTGAAAAATATATTTTGTATAAATCGCTACAACGAATTGTGAAATTGTATATTATTAGCAGTGAATATTGTTTATATAAATGATGAATCATCATTGGTGACAATTTGAAAAAATTGTAGTTACTCAAGAAAATTTAATACATTTATATTGATGCCGTGGTTTTTTGGTCTAAAATATCATGAATAGAAAACAACTACAAAATATATGAAAAACTAATTTTAACACTATCAATGTCAATATTTGTTTATAGGTTCAATTTTTCGATTCATTTCTTTCATATTAGCTAAATAATGACTAATATAAAAATATCCCTTACTTTCGATAATAATTAAAGGACTTTCCATTCTTATATTTATTTACCTATAAACATGTTTAAAATCATAATGTATGATATAACTTACAGTACGCTCAATAATAATATAACACAACTCACAATATTTATGTTGTATTACAGGAATAATAATAATTTAAAAAAGTGCACTTACCAAAACGGATGCTGACCGCGTGTGGCAGTGGGGTTTCGGACGGTGAAAACAACAAGTGGCGTTTGCAACTATGTTTTATAGAGAGCGGAACGACGGTGATAGTCGTCAGATTCAAAAGCATCACTAGTACTAATGGCGTACTGAAAGCTCATCATCGGTACGAATGATGTCAATAATTATTTTGTTCGACTGTACTCGAATGCCGAAGATACTTCGTCGACGTGCACACCTCGATAATATATATCGAAGGCTAAGACGACGATGACTACGACGACGGCGACGAACACGACGATAATGGTGCAGGGTCCTGTCTGTTCGTCCTTCCGCCGACAATGGTCCGCCAAAACTGATTCCCTGGCACACGACAACGGCGATGGTTCGTGCAGTGAGCACCGGCGGCGAGACCAACGGCACCAACCCCATCCGTCCCGTCCAACTACCCTCGCATCCCCACCCCCCACCGACACGCGGTCCGTGTCAGCCTCGACTTCCCGTATATACTACCATGCGCCCTCGCGCAGCTCCAATCCAGCCACCCCCCAGCCACAAACATCTCCCTGCTAACGCCACGCGAGTGATGCTGGGGCGCCCGGCGCGCTGCACGTAGTCCGCGAATAGGAGGCGGCAGTGTTTAGGATTTTCCATTCGCTGCACACCCTCCTCTCACGTCATCCGAGCGCCGACATTGCGCCGCCGTCCGGTTATTATATATATGGATATGATGCTGTAACAACTCGGCAGAGTAATATTAATACCGGAAACTTCTTCCGCGTGTTCATAAATTATTTTTTTTCTTCATATTCTCCGGTTTTTTCCACCGTGGTGTCACTTTTTTTTAACAGGTTCTTTGTTTCTCTGTTCATGAATGCGTGACAGGTTCACGGTGCAAATAAACTTATACATACCATAGATATTTGAGAGAAGCACCTCAGAGTATGTAGGTATGTAAAGTTTAGAATAGCGACAAAGTGTTTTTTTGTGAGAAATATTATTACACGGTTTGTCGTTAATAAACAGATTATTAACTATGATTATTTGTACACATATATAATATATATATTCGTATACATACATGGATACATGCATACTTTATGTGCCAGGTAGTCGGTAATTTAATTGAATATAATATGTAAATGTTCGGCTCGGATAGTTTTCGTATTTGTCCACACGCAACGAATAAAGGTTTCAGCTAAGTGTTCACCACAGCTATGGCGTAGCCAGATGTCTATAACCAACTCTACCAAACAAAAGAAACAATAAAAAAAGTGTATGAATGTACAAAATAAGTATTTTAAATAATGCATTTATTTCTATAGCCATCCAAAAATGATTTAAAATGTACAAATGTATGAGCTTACCCTCCCCCATCCATTTCATTTCTCATCCGGAAATACAACGTGTAAACTGCAATGCTGTTATATATGTATATATTTTTTATGATTATTGTACATTGTACATACTATATTATTAACAGTGTTTTCCAGATAAACCATCCAGGAGTGTAAAGCCTCAAATAGAACGTGCCAATATTTTTTAATGCACGCACTATATAATTCTTTAGATTTTAAACTAATATTCTATAAATATACTGTGCTGTGGTGTTATAAACACACCGTCGTCATCGTTTACAAAAAATATAATGTATTTCTGTAATCACAGTAATAAATAATTTATTTATGTTAGTTATTTCCTCAAATTGTTTTTTTTTCTTTTATTTTAACACAACACGCTCGTCATTATTATAACTTTCATAAGGAATACAAATATATTCAATTGGCCATAAGTTTGCCAAGTTTGATGTCCATAAATATATCGAAATCCGGATGTATATTATTAGCATCCTTTACACATCCAATTTATCTAAATACTAGCTGAACCACTTACTTAACTCTTATATACTACAGTTAAATTATAGACCCCAAAATAAGTAGAAATTAATTTAAATATACGTATACCTATACTTTATAAGAGTACTTAATAGAGTAATATGAAGTACCAATGTGTATTGCACTATTGTGAATATAACAAAAGCTATTTCGACTAGTTCAATTAAAAACGTAGCGTCATTAATTTTAAAAATCTTTATTGGTTGTATGTTTTAAAATGTTTATAGCTCACTTAAAAATAAAACCCTATGAGGTTCACTAGACAATATTCTAATTTTTTAAATTAAATAATTAGTAAATTCACTGTAATATTATATTCTAACATGGCAGAGTTAAATAAATTATTCAGATCGAACAATTTGCTGTGCTATACGTTTGTAAGACGGGAACACTCCGAACACTATATGTGAGTGTAGCGAACTTTTAAAATATTTTTTACAGAAGTGCTAGATATTGAAATTGATGATGTTTTTGGGACTGGAAAACAATTGTTCAATAATTATTTTGGAAATGATGTAAGAAAATTGAAAAATCCCCTCTTACTAAATTAATATTTTATTTTATATTAATAATCCAATGATGTTAAATTACTGAATGACTAAAATATACATGACCATTAATAAAATATCATTAAAAAATACAGTCTTAAGTTAATATTTATATTTTTTAAAGTTTAAAAGTTTATATTTATTTTGAAATCAGAAATATTATTGGGCATCACTGAGTAAAAAATTCGTATGAAAATTCAGGAATTACCTTGGTTACATCATATTACTATTAATATATTATACATAAAAAATTAAAAAAAGTTAAAAGAATAAATTATCGCTGTTATAGATATTGAATTTGGTTTTTTTGGATAAATCAGTAAATTTTCTAATAATCCTTAAATAAAAAAATATGATATTTATTTTTTTCCTAGTTAGATTCTAATAATAAAATTTAAAATGTGACACCATAAATATATTAATATTTTTAAAATAAAAATAAACAATGTACTCATATTCTGAAAAAATAATTCATACATTTTCGACAACATAATATTATTATCGTAAGATACTAACAAGTTATCATTTTTTTTTTATTAATTAATATTCATATGTTAAAAATAATTCTTATAATATTGCAACTACAAAACAGAGAACTGGATATTGAAAAACGTATTTTTTTGAGTTAAAATATTTACATGCAGCAGTCATGGATTTAGTTATTGTAATCATACTAATTCAGTTCGCTAATCCATTGGATATAAACGTTCATTTCTAACGAGCAAGTTATATCGACAATTACTAATTTAATTACGTTAAATATTTATTGTTATTATTATTGTTTTCAGTAATCGTTTTTAGCACACGTTAATAATCAATATAATTTCGAGTACACAAGTATTAAAAAACAAATTGTGTTAGTAACATTCAAACATGTTTTCATTATGAACATTCTATATGGTTAGGTAGTTAGTAGTTATAAATGTTATATTTATTATGTGTACGTTACCCGTATATTGAAACCTATAATCGTTTAAAAGCTTCATATTTTAAAATTTAACTGGCAAAATGTTTTTTTTATTTTTTTTTCATCAATTCTTTTGGTTTCCATTTCTTAATAAAACACTACTTGTACATATTAATTTTTATTATAACCTAGCATTGTACAATTCAATTATAGTGACATTTTTTTGCAATGAGTTTTTCGTTATAACTTTCAATATAGATTAAGTATCTTCAGTTACATTTCTTAAATATATATGTAGTATTATTTGCACGATTAACACATACACACACACACGCTACGAGACGATAAAAATATACGTATAACAGTTTTGTAGAGCATCGATAATTTAGCTGATTAAATATTTTATACTTGTAAACATGATTACTAATTGTTTTTAAGGTATGAAATTTTGTTTTAAAAAATAATTTATATACTATGCTAAAGAACTATAGAGATAATAATATTACACAATAACTTTTTACGTTAGCGTATGAATAACATTTCAAATATTTTAACACAACGTATTCGTCAAACCTATTGTCAATCATCTAATTTGGAATTTTAAGTCTTGGTATTTTAATATATTTACAATTGAATCAATAATAATCACACTATAACTATAAAAAAAAAAATCAATAAGTTAATGCGAGTTGTCGAGGGCAGACCATCCAAGTATCAATAATTGTGTTTGAAAAAACTTGATCACTCTCTCGTCTATTAATCAAGTTTTAGTTACAGCGCTGTACTTTGTTCGAAATAATAATATATACTATTACCTATGTAGTGTGTAATTGATATCAGTAATTAATGCCTATGAATTCATCACAGTGGCATTATAAACGCGGAAGTATCTCCCATTTTAAACGGAAAGATAAAATTTTTGGGAAATACACTTCCAAAAAACTCCAGTGTAAAATAACGTTTGAAACGTTTTTCGGGTCTTGTATTTCATTGTGCATTTTCAAACTAGTATAAGTTTACAAATGGAAGTAAAGTGCATCGTCAGAGAATGTCACCCCAATACGGAACGTGTCGGTATAAAACATTTTGTAACAGCGCAGACGGACACACGTCGTAAATAATAAATTCTTAAACCGAAAAGACTACGACGATAAACAATGTACTTTGAATGCTCACCATTTATAAAATAATATGCTTTTTATGTATAACGTATTAAAGGTACTTATATATTAATATATTACGTAGATAATATTTTATCGTCTTATCATTAAAAAACAATCACATTATTTTTTAGTTATTTCAATCATAACCTGAATTATTAAATATATAAATGTACGCAAAAAACACTTGCTATTTTAATATTATCACTTAGGCTATAAAAATAATTATTCCATAAAAAAGAAAAATAGGACAATTATGATTTGTGACTGCGTATATTATCTTTTTTTTTCCATTGATTTAAAACCTATAATTTTAATTAATTTCAATGACACTTAAGCTTTTTGAGTTATTTGATATATATAATATTTAATAACAAACATTTTACAAATCCGAATTTTTTTTTTATAAATCTCGATAAGAAAAATATTATTCGATCAAAAAATTTGAACATATAATACAAGGTTCTTCATATATTTTATTCATCCATTTAACAATATTAAAGATATCTTAAATATATTTATCTGAAGTACAATTTTTCTTTTTGTAAACATTTGATGTTGAAACTTTGATCAAATTAGCCGAAATCTCAAAAATTTACAAATTATTTATATCGATAATACGTAAAATGAATAGTGTATATAAAATTTAGTGTTCAGTTTTATTTCTAAGGCTTGAAAATGAATACAATGTTCCCGATAAATAGTTTAATAATTTTAGTAATTCAAAAATAATTTTTTGAAAAAATGAATTAGAAACTTTTACGCGTATCATTAGTAATAATGATAAATAATGTTTTGATTTAAATTATAATTATTAATTATAA